CTTGTATGAATTTCTATCTAAGATAATTTGAACATTGCCGTAATTTTTACGTATTTAGTCAAAATTTGAACTTTAAATGCTTATAAAAAAAAAATGGTAACTATGAATTTATTTTATTTTTCAAATGATATTGTTACAATGTATACAAAGGCTTCTACCTTTTATTAAAATTTCAAGCTTTTCTACCCAACAAATAAATTTTTATCAATAGTTATAGAAAAAAAAAACTAAAAAAGTTGAAAATTTAAAATGTCAGTAAACAGCTCAAAACAAATCTAAATATTTTAAATTGTATCAAATATAGAAAATGCCTATATAAACATTCAGTGAAAATTTCAAGTGTCYGCGGTCATTTATTTTAGAGCTACACCAAAATAAGAAAATCGCTAAATGTGAAATTCAGTGAAAATCCAATGTTGTAAAAATTTAAATTTCAAATGCTCATAAAAATTCAATTTGAATTTCCGGTGGACTTTTTATTTGTGATAAAGATTRACAAACCTGTAAGGAATCTTGTATTAAATTTTCAAATCTTAGATTTAAAAAGAAAATTTTTTATGAATTTCTAGCTTATAATAATTTGTATCTAAAATATCTAAAATCTATAACTGAAATTAACAACCTAAACTAAAACCAGAAAATTTGAAACGCTTTCGAGCCCTGCAAAACATATAATATGTACTTGTTATTATTGTTAATACTATTTATTTTTTAGATTGATATTTCTAAGCCTTGCTCTGTTTATGACCCAACTACTATTTTAGAACTATGTGAAGAATTAACAACATTAAAATGTAGTCATTTAAATAGTCATAGTATTTATGTGACTTCCAACCATTCGGTTTTAACATTTGACAATCGTATGGGATTTGTAAATAAATCATATCACATGCTTTCAAATCCTCCATCGCTAATTAACATACATCGTTATGAAAACAAGTGATTATTTAAGCTTGAATATACAAATTTTATACACTAATTATTTAAATTTCCATATTTTTTTTAGTTTTGATACCAATGAAATGTTGATTTTGGGAAGCCAAACTGGTGAAAGCCTTGTTTATTTACCCTACACTTCATATCCAGATGGCTTTCTATCATGTAAAAGCATTGCATCATYAATTCCAAATCCATTTCAATCATTACATAATGTACAACTTAAAGGGTATTGCTTGAATCCAACATTAATGGATAGATTTTTGCGGTGTTTAACTGGTACTACTGTTTTTGGTGAACAAATTAAAGATTTAAAACTATTTAGTATTAATTCTGCTGGAGATTTATTTGTTCAAAAAGTAAATGATAGTACACCAATTGATGTGACTCAATTTGTTAAAAATGTTACAATTAAACCTCGAATTGTTCCAAAACTAAATTATTCACATAAGTTTGATATGAGTAACCTTTGGAAATTAGATCTACCCGAAAATAATGAAGAAATTAATATAAAAAAAAATAATGTTTGGTGTATGTCAAAAGAAAAAATGTCATCATACATAGACCATCTTGCTCCAATAATATTATCCCCATGGGACATCGATGACTTATCAGAATGGGAGAATGAAGATGAGAATGATGATGCCAATGATGATTCTGATTGTGACTATGCGACCAAAGTTAATTTTTGGTTCAATAAAAATGACACATTGTTGAGGTCAACAGAAGAAATTTTAGAGCCAAGCATTGATAATCCGCCTATTAATATTTTATCTCAAGCTTGTACTACAAAAACTGTTCCTTCATCAGAAAATGACAATGATTCTAGTTCAGGTTAACTTTTTATTTATAAAATGTTTGATTTTTTAATAGTTATTGTTTTTTTTTTTTGTTTTTTTGTTACAGGTTATACAGTTTCTTTAAAATCTGATGACAGTTAATCATCTTAAATGTAGATATGTTATTGTCAATTTTATTTAT